ACAGACATGCGGGACTTACACAAAGGGGAGTTCATATGCCAGCCATCTCCACAAAGGTGGGACATGAAAGAGGGACAGCTGATGGCAAAAAAGCTTCTATCCATAGGTCTTCAGATACCAAGAGCCCTCTCCCCAAGTCAGCAGCTGTGACTGTGTGCACCCCATCCCCACCCAGGACAAGCATGGAGCCTTGGGCTCCATCAAATCATCTCTCCAGGGGCTTGCATTTGTCGCCATTGAAGGGGATGACTTCCACTGGGAACACAATACCCAACACCTTCCCGATCCCTACATGTTGGGAAAGTCTAACCTTCAATACACATTCCTACGAATCAGAGTGTCTTTGACTAACCTAAAGTCAATTTCCTTCTGCCTCCTCCCTGCCTCAAATATGAGAGTCCCAACAGGTGCTGAGATGATCTGCAGGACAACCTCCCCACACTGCTGCTCAGAGAAGGAGGTGTGAAAAGTCTGCACAGATCCCAATCTGAATCTAAGACACAGGATACAAGTTTGCCTAGCTTTCCTTCTCAAAGCCTCAACAGAAAGTTGTTGCATTCATTTCTAGCTCCTGCCTGGGTCCATGAAATTACATTTGTTCCCTTGAACAATGCTTTCTAGGCTGCAGAAAACCAGCTGGAGCTACAGATAACAGCTGGGACTGTCCCTTCCAGTCAGCTGGTAAAAGCCAATTTTGCATGGATTTAAGTGCATTCAGATTAGCAATTTAACGACCACGGATGTCCTGAGACTTCTAACTGACAGTAGCTTCAGATACTCAAACATCTGGAGAATAAAGTGCTTACAGGTGTCGCGCCTGTAAGAAGAAAGCGGAGCCCCTCGGGAAAGAGAGGATTTTTGTTCATCATTGTTCTGGGGACTATGGAGCACTCCATGAAGCCCCTGCCACAAGATCACACAATCTGTGTCCTCCTTTGAAAACACGCCTTTCAAACAGTGCTGAACAGCGCTGCTCATGGCATAACTGCCAGCTATTCTTCCCTCTCCTTGCCTATGGCCTTCCACCACTGTCACAGATACAAACAAACCTTTTTATATTGTCCAGGCAGCAGATTCTCCACTATCTCACTCAAGTGGTAAAAGGAGGGTCTCTTCTCAGGCTCACTGTTCCAGCACTGCACCATGATCTCGTAGCTGGAGAAGCACAGAGTGCAGAGTGAGCATGGGGACAGTATGCAGGGGACACCCATCCCCACAGACCCTTAAGGCAGGGACATGGACCCACGGATGGGGAGGGAGCTCACACTTCACTGGTGGCATGGTCGGGCTTGGCCATCCGGTACCCACTCTTGATCTTATTGTAGAAAGTAGAGTCCACCATCATGCCAGGGTAGGGTGTGCCACCTAACAGCAAAAGAAGACAATCAGGATGACACAGCATTTCCACATGCACCACACATTGCTGGAACACCTGGGAGACAGCACACTAGGGAATGCCTGCCCTCCTGAGTCCCTGACTTCCTAATCCCTTCAAGGAAATTAAGTGTTACCATCTCCTTGACTTCAGAGGCCTACTCAAACCTAAAATTTATACAGGACTCTGGGCTATTCAAGTCCAAGCACCTTGGGCAAAAATTGTGCATCTTTAAAAAAGTATTTTTCAGTGTTTCTGACTACGAGAGCTACATTTACAAGCAAACTTAAAAAAAGCAAGGAGAAATTCTGAATCACTGAAGGCAAGAAAGTAAATTTTCACCAGAAATGTTCAAATAATAATAGCAAAAGTCAAAGTTGGGGCCTGGAATGTCCAGAAAGCTCCCTGTTTTAAGGGGGAGAGAGAGCTAGGACAGAAAAAGGGATCCAGGGAGATACATTCATGGCACATTTCACATTTTTATAGACAAGGCCAGGTCACATTCAGTTCCATCTGAAGTCTTCCAAAAACATTCCAGGACTCCTTTCTCCTTCTTTGGGATTCACATTAGAATTTTAAATCAGTACCACAAGGTTTATCTCTAGGTGTGCAAGTCTTAACTTTGCACTTGAACCATCCATCCAGGGGTTACAATTGTGCCTCGTCTTTCCCTCAGAGACCTCATCTGGCCACAGAGGCACCTGACTTGGTCATGCACTGGTGACTGACTGACCAAATGCCTGGGAGATTTCTCTACTCCAGAATGATGGCCAGGAGGGGCAGTCACTCTACTTTTCACCTGAGCACCAACTGCCATCATAGAAGGAAGAAGAAACTCCACTGGATGAACCATTTAACCAAAGTCCAAAATGAAAAGGCAACCAGTGGGCAGACATCGCTGGGAGTGAAGAAAATCACCCTGGCATAACCAAAGGAGAAGATGGGCAGAGGCCAGGGGTGAGGGTGCAGTCCCAACAGATTCCTTCTCAGTCTGTTTGGACCCACATCAGACAGGGTAAGGACCAATGTGTCCCTGCATTGCCTACAGTGCTGTTCCAGAACAGTCCAGATGAGCAGAGAGGTCAGGCCCATACCGAGAGAAAAGATCTCCCAGAGCAGAATGCCGTAAGACCAGACGTCACTCAGGGTGGTGTAGAGGTTGTCAAAGATGCTCTCAGGAGCCATCCACTTCACTGGCAGGAAGGTCTGGGGAAACAGAGGGAGGAATTAAGCCACACCTGAAATGGAAAGGGTCCTTCCTGGGCTGAGAATAGCTTGCACTAAAGGTCTTGCCCACCCTTGTCTCATGTGTGCTGCTAATGGTGTGCGCTGGGCACCTGGTGACTAGTGGTTCTTAGTGAATACCTGATGAATGATGCTTCTTATTCTTGCAAAGATCCTGAGTTGTTATCAAAAAGTGTGAGCCCTGTACAAACCAGACCCCTATTTCAGGTATTCCAAGGGACAAAATTAAGACCAGACTCAACGATCTGTGAGCTGCATACAACTTCTGAGCGTTAAGAAATAAGTAGTAATTTTCCACCACTACAAAGAGTCAAAAATTGAGCCAGGCACCGGTGGCTCAAGCCTGTTAATTCCTGCTACTCAGGAATGCAGAGATCAGGAGGATCGAGGTTCAAAACCAGCCCAGGCAAATAGTTTGCAAGACCCTATATCAAAAAAAAAAAAAAAAAACCATCACAAAAAAAGGCTGATGGAGTGGCTCAAGGCATAGGCCCTGAGCTCAAACCCCAGTAATGCAAAAAAAAAAGTCAGAAATTGAGATGAATTTTGTAAACTCTTTTGCAAAGCTGGTCCATACTTCAGTGGAAATATCAAACTGAGCCAGAGATGTAAAATAGCCATATTAGCATCCTTCAGACTCCAAGACTACTGGGAAGATAAAAGGGATCAATAACCTTATGTAAGGAGGTAAGAAATCAGTTCCATCCAAGTTCAGTGACTTCTTAAAGGTACACAGGAAAAGCCACAGCTTGAAGTCATAGCCACAGATGTACCTGAGGAACAGAGCACCTTCTGTCGGTCCTGTAGCTGTCTCACAACTAGTGCAGTGGAGTGACATGGAATTGTACCTACAGTGTATCCTAAGCTACTTCACTGCCTATAGGTAGAAGGGAAGGAGAGGATTGTTCAAGAAGATGATACACTGACTCTCTTTAAGGAAACTGCCTCTAAGGTACATGAACTGAAATGGTGGTACCATTGTAAGGGTCACACTTGCTTTTTAAAAATTTAACAAAAGCTTAAAAACTTGAGACACCCTGTTGGAAATGCATGCTTGTGCACACAGACACACAATTTACCTAATAAGCACTAGCACTTACTGGGGGCAACTGTAAAGTAATGTCAACAGGTACTTTACATGAATTCCCTGATTTAATCCCCCACAGCAACTCTGGAGATGGATGCTTCTATAGATAGGCAAAGCCAGGCATGGAATGGGCAAGGAACTTGCCCCAAATCGCAGCCCGAGTGCCAGGATGGAGTTGGTACTCACACCTAGGCCAGTTGCCTTTTGAGCCTGGGCTTTTCCTACTGACCCTCCAATGCCAATTCATGAACCTCACAGATGCCACATTGAACAGATGGGCTGTATGGCAAGAAGCAACACTTGACTTCAAAGAATGAAGGAGGTAAAGAGAGAGTTCAAGGGAGGGCAGAGGGTACATACACTGCCTTTTGACACGTAGTTCGAGTCATGCATGATGTCTCTGGCCAGGCCAAAGTCACAGATCTTCACGATTTTCCCTTGTGCCAAGAGGACATTGCGAGCAGCCAGGTCCCTGTGGACACACTATATAAAAAGGGCAGAAATGACTTCAGAGTCAATCCAGCTGAGGCCAGGCAAGAATGGCCACTCTGTGGTGATACATGCAGCTGTGAGGTGCACAGAGCTCACCCTCCCTCCAACCCCTCCAGGCAGACAGGAAGCTCTGGAGAAAAGCAGATACCTGATGATTTTGGTTCCCAGCCCTGCTCAAGGGAGGGGGCAGAGAGGTAGGTAAGCAGGAGGCAACCGCCATTACTGCCACTCCAGGGTCCCTCCTAGTGTCTCCTTCCATACGCCTCACTCTGAATCTTTAGTTGCATCTAAAAAGTTCTCCATGCTTTGAACTTACATTTTTTGAAGCCAAGAATTCCATTCCTCGGGCAACTTGATAGGTGAAACTCAACAAATCCAACAAAGTAAGGCCTTCTGAGTTATCATCTGAAAGGAGGTTTTTGACTTCCGAGTCTGCAGAAAAGGAATTAAACGCACCATTGAGCTTCACCCGCTGGACAGGCCACTGGCCAGTGGCAAAGCCTTGTCCAAAACACACATCCCAAACTATCTTCACGTGGAGTTTGTAGACCTCACATGAACCATGCAAAGGGGACAGTGGGTACAGCTCAGTCTTAGACCATTTGCCTAGCTGACTTCAACCTCTACCACTCCAAAGAAGGAAATAGTGAAAAGGTTCTTTTTTCAAAAAGAAACACATACAGTTTGAGCACTCCTAGAGAAAAAAATTGAAATCCAAAATGATCTAAAAATCCAACAGGATGCCAAAAGTAAAAAATTCCACACCAGACCTCATGTGACAGATCACAGTCAAAACAAAAGCACACTAAAAATACTGCACGAAATTACTGTCAGGCTACACGTATGAGGTGTATATGAAACATGAATGAATCTTCTGTTTGGACTTGGCTGCCATTCCCAAGATCTCTCATTATATACATACAAATATTCTGAAACCTGAAAAAAAAATCCAAAACACTGTGGTTTGAGGCATTTTGGATAAGAGGTTCTCAGCCTGCATGCAGAAGAAACACATACCGGGTGTGTGTGTGTGTGTGTGTGTGTGTGTGTGTGTGTGTGTTTACACATATAGCCATAAGTCTCCCATATGGGTTCTCACATAGAGATTTTTTATTTGCCCCCCAAATTTCTTTTTTCCACCCCATTTAGCAGTCACCTCAGCTATCTTTTTTTTATTATTGTTATGCTGGGTGGGGCTATATTGTGGCATTTGCAAAAGTTCCTACAATATATCCAATATATATCATAGTTGAATTCACCCCCTCCGCCATTCTCCTTTATCCCTCCCTCCCCCATTCTTGGAATAGTCTCAACAGGTACCATTTTTCCATTTACATACCTGTGTACACAGTATTTGCACTATATTCACCATCCCAGGCCCTTTCCCCACCTTCTCCCTGCTCCCACTGGTACCAAAGTCCCCAGACAGGACCTGTCCCATCTTCCTGTTCTCTGACTTTGTAGAAGAAAATGACATTTTTGCTTGTTTAAGATAGCTACACAGGGAGGTCCCTTGTGACATTTCCATGTATGTATGTATTATATAACCCAAATTAGTTCATCTTCTCTATTTTCCTTCTTTCTACTTTAGTCTCTTTCTTATGGTACTTTCAATAGGTTTAAAACATTCTACGTTCATTCTTGTATAGAGAGTACATCAACCATATTCATCTTCTTAACTTTCTTTTACTCTCTCTCATATGTGACCTCCCCTTAGCGTGATCTGTTTTTCATAATATTGCTGTATTTGTATTAGGTTTATATTCCACATATGAGAGAAAACATGTAGCTTTTGGCCTTCTGAACCTGACTAACTTAAGGTGGCATTCTCCAGTTCCATTTACCTGCAAATGACAAAATTTCATTCTTCTTTGTAGCTGAGTAAAAATTCCGTTGTGTATAAATACCACATATTTTCTTAATCCATTCATCAGTAGTGGGGCATCTTGGTCATTTTCATAGCTTAGCTATTGTGAATAATGCTGCAATAAACATGAGTGTGCAGGTGCCTTTGTTGTAAGCTGACTTACATTCCTTCAGGGATATCCCTAGGAGTGGTATTGCTGGATCATATGGAAGATTTATTTTTAGTTTTTTGAGGAGCCATAGTTGTACTAATTCACATTCCCACCAGCAGTATGAGGGTTCCTTTTTCCCCCACATCCTCATTCTTGACGGTAGCCATTCTAACAAGAGTGAAGCAGAATCTTAACGTGATTTTGATTTGCATTTCCTTTTATGGCCAGAGATGGGTGAGCATTTTTTCCATGTGTTTTTTGGCCATTTGGACTTCTTCCTTTGAAAAAGCTCTGCTCAGTTCATTTGCCCACTTCTTCATTAGGTCATTGATTTTGGGGAAATTTAGTTTTTTTGAGCTCCCTGTATATTCTGGTTATTAATCCCTTGTTAGATGTATAGATGGCAAAGATTTTTCTCCCATTCTGTGAGCACCCTCTTCAATTTAGAGACCATTTCTTTTGTTGTGCAGAAGCTTTTTAATTTCATGTACTCCCATTTGTCAATCCTTTCTCTTAGCTGCTGAGCCATTTGAGTTCTACTTAGGAGTCATTGCTTCTACCTCTTAATTCCTGTGTATTCCCTGCTCTTTTCTGCACTAGCTTCAAAGTTTCAGGCCTTACATTAAGGTCCTTAATCCACCTTGAGTTGATACTTGTACAGGGTGACAGATAAAGATCCAGTGTCAGTTTTCTGCATGCAGATATCCAGTTTTCCCAGCAACATTTGGAGAGGTCAGCCATCTTAAAACTCACACACACATACACACTAAAATCTTCCATGACAAATACACAAAGACACCTTGAAAAAAGTACTTTCTGGAAATTGCTTTATTTTCTTTTCAAAGCTAGCTTCAGAGTATTTTGCTTATTATTAAATCAACTACTAAACAGACAAGGCAGCAATCTTATAGACTGGTGCCATTGATTTTTGCATTGACTTCCATTTGAGTGTAACTTGCCCACTTTCCCCAATTCTTCCCATCTGGAAGGGTCCCAGGGTTTCGAGGAAGACAGCAATCTAGGCCAGCAGACTCAGTCCTTTTTGAGAATTTTCAGGCAAGTGAAGAGTAGCTCCAGCCATTCACATTTTTTTCAGCCAGCTACAGGCAGGCCAGAAAACCGTGGCCTGCCTGCCAACAGGGCCTGGCCCTAAGCATGACTCAGGTTCCCCTCACATCTGGTGCCAAGTCCACAAGCTCAGCCTGAGAAGCAATGGGAACTATTTTTAACCACATGGGCGGGAGAGGAAGCACTGGTTCCGATAACTCTCGCTGCATACACTTTAAAAAGTATTTGGAAGTTCACCATTTGGCAATGTGCAATAAATGGAACTTAGAATTGCAGAAATGGAAAATATTACTGTGTACCAAGCTTTACAAAACAGGCACATTCTTTATTTAATGGATTGTACCTTTTGCTTAAGAATCCTGAAAGAATTCAGAGCACACTAGCGATTTTAAAAGTAATTTCCATGGCAGCTCAACACTTTTGCATCCACCAATGAGAGGGTTCAGACCCAAAATGACAAGATCACAGGAAAAGCCAAGGTCAGACCCATCTAGCAGTCCAAGTCTATGATTAGGCTAGAGTCCTGGAGGGGCCACCCAGAGCAGAACCTGAGCTGGTCCATCTGGCCTGGCACTGGATAGGCACCCTGGAGTTTCCAAATCAACTTAACCCTTCCACATACACCTCTGTTTTGAAAACAGATAGATCTGCCTTCAGACAACAATCAGTAGAAACACTTGTCAGAAAAAACAACCTCCAACTGTCTATTCTACAGTTTCTATCACAAACTGGATGTTAAGAAAGCTAAAATCAAGGGTTATTGAACTCACAACATCAGAGTCTTAAAATAAAAGTTAAGAAAAAAAAAGTATAAGGAAACAATGTAACATTGCCAACTTTCAATTTTGCCAAGCAAGAGCATAAAATATAAAACCCATCAATAATCACCATGACTTCATTTAAAAAGAAAGACATGTTAACAAAAAAAGGAGGAGAGAGTCATTATATCAGAACAAATTCTGTAAAGCAATTGCATTTGAAGTTTGAAAAATTGCTTACATTAAGTCTTTCTTTATTCATTCATTTATTTTTGCAGTACTGGAGATCAAACCCAGGATCCCACACAAGCTAAGCAAGTGCTCTATCACTGAGCTATATACCCAGTTAATTTAATTCACAGGTCACAAACCTATAAAAACATGTCACAGACCCAGTTGAACGGACCTGCATTTAGGGACTATGTGGCCTGGCCGTTACTTATCAGCCCGATTCACCTTCCTCTGAGTATCTTCAGTATCATATTAAACCACCAGGAGATCGTAAGATGCAGAGTGAGTACAGACACTTTTACCTAACACAGCTTTCTTCTTATACGAGGCTGGACGATCGTACAGTGATCTCTGGATGTCTGAATACTTAGAGACCTCTTTCCTTTCTAGCATGGGCACATACTGAGTGGTGTCAGCTTGCTTCATGTCCATGTAGTCACCATTGTTTTCAAAAGACAAAATCACGTAACTGTAAAAAGAGACACAGAAATCTTACCTAAGGCAGCCCCTTGCTACATTTAAAACTTGAAAAATTCGTAACATTAAGTCTGCCATTATTCCTTCTTTGTCTTTGAACTCATAAGCCATGAACCATATGGCTTGGGCAGACGGTTCCTGCTACTCAATAAATTTAGCACCCATTCGATGGCCATGAAGTTATTTAATACAGAGTGAGGTCACTGTACTTTCTGTTCTTAACAGACTTCTAGAGAGCTTTGTAGGTTTATAGAAACCACTTACAGGTTTCTGTTATGGAAACCATTATCAGTAGCTTGATTTATGGGCTCAGATTCAGCAAGGATCAATAATAGCTCAAGCTTGGAGATTTTCTGTTTCTCATAAGCTTTGAAAACTCAGGCATTTCTGGCCAAAGCTTCATTTTACACATCCCGATGGGTTACACATAAACAACAAAATGGCTCCCCCAATGAGTCCAACTCTCACTCTCATTCAGATGGCCTTCCCACAATGACACAGTCCAAAACACCTGCAGACAACACATACCCATCTGCGCTGTCATGGGTAGGCTGGCTGGACTCTAAGTCTTGCTACCTCTGAATCTACAGACACAAAATCTCTGAAGACGTGGGTTCTCTCCATTTGTGAGGCTTACAAGACAATGGGACATCAATGTCTCGTCACACTCACCTCCGTGTGCTCTCATCAGCTGGGTTCAATCCAAAGATGTCCAGCTCTTTCTTCGGCTTTTCTGGGTGGTGGCTCAAGAAGCTATCCCTATTCTTATGCAAATAGTTGACCAAATCCCCATAGAAGCAGTACTCAGTGATGATGTAAATGGGGCCTATGGGAACAAAACCAGTTAGGAGATGGCTATGAAGGATGGAAAAGCCAAGAATTGCTCTATTTGGACTGGCAAAAGAAGCCACTCGAAAATAGTGAGCTTCCATCAGAACCGGGGACTCCACTAAAAGAGCCTAATATTCCCAGGTGTGCTTGGGTTGAAGAGGGAGAACTTCTCCTGGCTCGACAATTTCACAACCACAGGTGTTCAGTGCAATACTCATCCCATCAGTGAGCCTACCTGACTTCGTACAGGCTCCCAGCAAGTTCACGATGTTTAAATGGGGCCCCAGGTGAGTCATTATTTTCAGCTCAGACATGAGAGCTTGTTTCTCACTGGACCTGGCTGTGGCTGTTGAAGAAATAAATCATGTATCAATTCAACTATGCTATCTGCTCATTCTCAGGAAAAGCCAAGAGTATGGCTAACCTTGTGATTCTACATCATTTTATTATGAAGAGTCTGAAAGAACAGAAATCCACTCAGCCTAGACTCTAAAGGATAAAAGGAGGTCACTAGAAATAACGCCTGATTTTCTAACATGTGAGTGACAAGAGCAATGAAAATATGCCAAATCAATAAAATAGTCCAAATACACAAAAAAAAAACCTAGAGGCAAAAGAACCAGGATCTAGTCTTAAATTTGCTACCCTACTAGCTGTGTGCATTTGAGCAGTTCACTTTACATCTCCGTGTTCAAATATCCCTAGGAAGCAGCACTTACGTTTGAGCATCTTCACCGCTACCTTCATCACAGGCTGGGACCGGCTTAATCCATAGGCTGTTCCTTCAACCACTTTCCCAAATGCACCAGATCCCAAGATCCGACCTGTGGGCAAACAGAATCATCAACACATGCAAGCTCCAGGCGCCTCCTCAGCTTTATTGGCCACAGCCAGCACTCACGGGTGTACAGCTGGGTGGGTGTTTTTCCTGTATTGAGTAAGCCTAATTATTCCTCTAAGACATCATGTCAAAAAGAGAATTGAGCCCACAGGGAAGGAAATTAGTGTAATTGCTTTTGTCAAATAACATTTGCAATGGAAAGGAAAACACAGACGGCAGAGAGGAAGGGGCAGCCCTCCCTGTGTGAACACTGGCTCCCAGCTCCCAGCTCAGTGCTGGCCAGGCCCTGGGCTGCTTTGCACTTGCTTCTGTGGCTCCTGCCCAAATGCCCTGGTTCTTTACCCTTCTGTTTCCCACATGCAAACAGAGGCATCCTTCGCATCAATTCCCTTAGCTACTGGAAATAGCTGAGGATTCAAAACATCACTGAATCCAGGGATGGCCTCCTCGCTGCCTATCTGTCAGAAGGCCACTACAGCAGAGGCTCCACATGCCCTGAAGCAGCCTTTTCCTTAATGTCTGGAGAGACAAAGAGAAATTGAAGCTGTCTTCCTCACCCTTAAAGAGCTCACAGTGTAAGAGGAATGTTTCCAGGGTGCCACTTACCATGGGCAGCCCATCCAGGAAACAGCCCATGGAAGACACGAGGAGCCAACACTGCCCTCCCCACAGATGGGCACTGCTGGCAACCCTACCCGGAAAGGCACTGCTCCACCGTGCCCAGGAGCACAGAGAAAAGCAGTGCTTGTCAGGGATTCCGCCCTTGTCCTCCCACATATTTTATTACTTCTTAACTTCTCTAAGCTCTTCATTTCTCTTTGGAAAACAGTGGTGAAAATATAATAAAGCAAGCTTAGATGTAAGCATTTGAAATTGGGAGCAATCGAGGGTTCCCTGTTCGATTTCAGTTTAAGTAACTAAGACCTAAACTGTGCAGCATTTGGCATGAAACAGTGGATAATTAAAACTATACTTGGTGAGATTATTCTCTGTGGCACACCTCTAACGCTAACTTTCATTTGCCTTTGCCTTGTTGTCATTCGTTCAGACTGTGATTTAAAACAAAACAAAACAAAACAAAAACAGGACTTCCCTGGACATCAAGTACTTGGTTTCAGCCCAGGAATGAAGTACGTGAACTCTGTTAACAAGTTGGCTTGGTTGTTTTGACATGTTTTCCTTTAAAACATACCAGTATTTTTGTTTGGTTGGTTGGTTTTGGGTGGTCCTGGGGTTTGAACTCAGAGCCTAGTTCTTGCTAAGCAGGTACTCTACAGCTTGAGTCATGCCTCCAGCCCTTCTCACTTTAATTATTTTTAATAAGCTCTGGAATTTTTTGCCTGGGCCAGCTTGGACGATGATCCTCCTAGTTATGCTTCCTGCATATCTGGTATGACAGGCACTCACCACCACGCCCAGCTTATGGACTGAGATGGAGGTCTACTGAACTTTTTGCCCAGGCTGCCCTCAAGAGGCAATCCTCCCAATCTTTACCTCCCAAGTAGCTAGGATTACAGGTTTGAACCACTGCACGTAGTAGTGCCTATAATTTTATATCCTATATTTGCATATATAAAGAAGTATCCTATGCATCCTAAGAATATAATTTGGACAGCTTTGTGCTTTTCCTATTCATCTCTCATGTAGTCCTTTTTTTTTTTTCTTTTTTTTTTTTTTTGCAGTACTGGAGTTTGAACTCAGGGCCTACACCTTGAGCCACTCCACCAGCCCTATTTTTTGTGAAGGGTTTTTTTCGAGATAGGGTCTTGCGAACCATTTGCCCGGGCTGGCTTCAAAACGTGATCTTCCTGAGTAGCTAGGATTACAGGCGTGAGCCACCTGTGCCAGGCATGTAGTCCTTTTTTTTAATGAATGAGTTAAATACTTTGTTTCTTACCTTACTAAAAAGCTGTTGCTGCACTGTTTAAAAAAAAAAAACAGCACCAACAAATGCAGTATACTGCAAAATTAAGACAGTATCATTCTCCATCTGACATTGTACAACAAACACTTGCCTCCACTCCCACCTCCTTCCAATGGGAAAATCAGTAGGTATTTTGACCCAAATCCAGGGATGGGTATCAGCAAGTCACAATATTATATGATTTATGACTTATGATAACCATGTTATCCTTGAAATATATGATTTCTATAACTAGTCTCTATCATGGATAATCTCATAAATTCTGAATGCCAGAACCTAGAGCTTAGTCTAAAAATCCTTAAGGTATTACAAAAAGGATGTATACTGGAATTCATTTCACTTTCAATTTGTGTCATTTCCAAAGCAAAGTCACTTTGCTGATATCTTTGTCAGGCCTTCTCATATTCTTTTCTCCCTTTGTAAAATGTTCTTTAGCCATAACGTTTTTGGGGGGTAGGGGGTTAGGACTGGGGTTTTAACTCAGGGATTTTTACTTGCAAAGCAGGCACACTACCACCTGAGTCATACCTCCAATCCATTTTGGTCTGGCTAATTTGAAGATGGGCTCTCATGAATTATTTGTCTAGACTGGTCTCAAACCAGGATCCTCCCAATCTCAGCCTCCCAAGTAGCTAGGATTACAGGTGTGAGCCACCAGAGCCTGGTCAGCCATAACTTTTTATAGTATGAGATTTTGAAAATCATTGCAATGATACAATCAACTTTTTTTTTTTTGCAATGCTGGGGAAAGAACCCAGGGCCTCATACATGCTAGGCATGTGTTCTACCCCTAAGTCCCCCCTAGCCCCAGGTAATGAAATGAAAATGTATTTCTGCAAGCAAATTTCTATTGCATAGTTCTTGCTAAGCAGAGCTGAGATCCCTTATTCCACCCCAGGCCTACAAATAATAAAGGTATGTACAAGTGAGCCTAGAGTCTTGGGAGACACCCTCAGGAACTTACCAAGCACTAGTCCATCTCTTGGAAACTCCCATCTCGAGTCATAAGGCAGCTGCATCGGGTCCACATAAATATATTCATGTCCATCGGGGCTAATTGATTCAATGACCCGCCAGCGAATTTCATACCTTGGTTTCTATGAATGACCAGAACAAATAACTGGTGAATTACCAAAGTCCCAAAACACCAGATCTTCACTGTGAGACAGAGGAGGTCCAACACCATTTGTTCCACCTGCCATTACTGGGCCCCTTCTCTGGCCCACGCACTGAATGAGGCTGTTGTTCTTGTTCTGACTAGCTTCAAAGACCTGTAGTGCTCTAAGAAAATACCCACCTGCTTCCAAATGACAACCAGGACAATAAGTGAGATGATCACAATCACCAACAGCACCAGGACTGCGGCTGCCACAGTGAGTTCAGAACGCAGGGCTGGGGGACAAAAGAGAGACATGGTGAAGAATTTCCTTACAGATGTGCAGGAGAGTGAGAACCTTTCACTGCAGGTAAGGAAGTGAAAGGGCCGCAATACCATCTCTTAAACACCATGAAACTACACAGCTCTTTCTTGGGAAAAGCAGGGGAAAAAATTCTATCCGGAGAACTCAACACTTCCTCAAAGATGCTCCAATAACATTTTGGACAGAATGAGAACAACAGAGACTGATAGATGAGACTGAGAGCTACCGAATGTGCAGAAAGCTTCATTATAAAGTTTACTTTAACAGACTGCATTCTGTTCTATTACTTTGACTTCATTCATCCTTTTGTTTTAAGAACTCAACCTGTCTCAACTGTTGAAGGGGCAGTGAGATAAAAGATTCTTCCTCATTTTCCATCCCATAGACAGATGCTCAGATTGAAGAGACGAGTGATTATATTAATAGTTAAGCAAAATGTCCAGGGGCCTCTGCAAAATGCAGCTGTGTGTGGAATCTGGAAGAAAGGCCCTTTAAGTACACTCAGCTGAATTTCTGCCTTGGGACCTTCACTCCTACATGACCCTATGGAGACTCTGTGTTCCACCTGATGTAGACAGGGCTCAGGTGATGACCTGGAGTTGTCCTGATTATCGAGCAACTCACTGGGGGCCACCAGCTTCAGCTCTCGGTTCCCAGATCCAAGGAGATTCTTAGCCAGGCATCGAACTGCAATTGTCTCCTCCACTTTGGCAAATGTCACTCGGCCCTCCACAGTACTCCCATCTCGGGGGTGGATCTCCGTGATGATATTTGAGACATTATTAGCTAAAATTGTCCATGAAGTCTCATTACTACATCTACAGAGAAACAAACAGGACACAAATATACAGTCCATTATCGTGAGTTATGGAGTGGCTCAGTGACCTTGTCTACATCTGAGTGCATCACAGCTTCGCTTTCTCATTTTATGTGCATATCAACATTAAAACTCATTTGCACAGGCTCAAGAGGAAATACCTGAATGTTGATAACTCAAAGTTAATTGTTTGTGAAGGAGCAGAGATAAATAAGTTTAATAAAATATAACTATCGATCCCAAATCTTGAGCCTATGAACAAGCTGAACAGCTCAATGTCAAGCATGTTTGACAATTCTTATTTCCCACTGTTTCAAAAAGACCAACATCTTCCCTTCTCACCACCCACACTGGGAAGAGCCCCTAGAACATCAGTAGGGTTGGAACAGTCCTGAGTTGAGTTATAAGACCTGGAGCCCAGCTCCAGTCAGCATCCAGTTACCCCTGAGCCCTAGGAAAGAATAGGACCAGGGCTCTCAGCCTTGGGAAGAAGAAATCGAGGCTTCTGAACACAGCCAGTCACCATGGGGAGAGGGGTGACACATGGCCCATGCCCATTTAAGAAGGTAAAGGAAGGGGGAAGGGTACAGAGAGGGTAATAGGAGGGTGAACATGATCAAGTACATCATATAAATGTTTGAAATGTCGTAATAATGAAACCCATTATTTTGTACAATTAATAAATGCTCATTGTAAAAAGTTGAAGAATACAGCTAAGCACTCAGGAGGCAGAGGAATGATGATTATGAGTTCAAGGTCAGCCTGGGCTACGCAGGTGAGTTAACTCCCATCAAACAGCAGGTGGGTGAGGGAGAGAGCGGGCACAATTTTCATTTAGGTTCACATGCCACCATAGCCACTGAAACAAAAGTTCACCAAATAAGAAAAGAGAGAGAAAACATATGGGCTTGGGTAGGGAAAATGCTCTGGGACAAAGTTTCTTAAACTCCACCTTTTTTTTCAGTATTAGAGACCCTTGAAGAATCTGAGGAAAGCCACAGACCTTCTGTTATACCTCTTCATAAACACACACACACACAACCCAAAGCTGGGGTCCATGTGCAGAACCCTGTCTTACAGTTTATGAGTAACACGAGCCTGAGGCCAAATAAGAATCACAAACATAAAAAAGGAACAGCCAAAGAAACACAATGCATGTGAGGTTCTTTGTGTGAAGGGAGGAACATTCTGAACACAAGAATAAGAAACATCTGGTTTCCATACTTCTTAATATCCTTGCAAATCATCCACTCAATGTCAGGAAGAGGTACGCCTTCAGCTGTGCACCTCACAGTCTGTCCCCCACCAGAGCCATGGTGGTCATCGACTAGCTCCAGAATGGATGAGGGAACTGCAAAAGGTGGAAAGAAGTCAAAATCAGGCAGAACTGTGGGGACTCCAAAGTGACATATGAGTTCAGAAGCTGTCTACGTGGAATTCAAGCCACCTGAGAGGGGGCTGAACCTAGTTGTATGAGTAACACTCCCTCTTCAACAGACCCACTTGGTTAAGAGCATTTTCACAGTTTCAGTGTTTTGGGGTTTGTGCCTGCGATGTTTTAAATCTGGAATGAGGAAAGTGAAAAGTGCCTGTGGCACTTGGCTTGAAAGGCAAGAAGACTCTTCAAATTATATTAGCGCTGCTTGGAATTCGACTAATGGATTCAAGAAAAAGATAATCTAAAGCAGAATTTGCCCAAGTGCATCTGTGGGACGTTGTTAGGTTGTAAAGTTCCTTCTTTTTAAATCTGTAGTCAAATAAGCTGGAAATAGGCTAATACTTACATCACAGATTATTGTGAGAACAAAAAGAGTCCACCTAAGACAGCGTCTGCATATGGAGGGACTCAAACATGAACAGACTCGGGCACTCTCTCTGGCAGGGACCACAGTAACAATGTTTACAAAGGATGCTAAGCAAACTCTCTGGAACAATCGAAGGTCATCTGGACCTAAAAGCATCATGGTGCTAGGTGCCATATTGAGAAGCAGGTGCTAAGAAAGCTGTCCTGCCTAGGAATTCCTAGTCAGAGTACTCCAGAGTAACCCAGCCCTCCCCCAAATTACAGAATAAGCACCCCTCATCCAAAACGCTTGGGGCCAGAAGTGTTTGGGGCTTGGTGTGCAGCTCAGTGGTTAAATCCTCCAAATTGGAAAAAAAAATCCAGTATTTTGGATTTCAATTTTGCAGATTTAGCCATAGTGCATATATATAATGCAATATCTTGGGAACGGGACCCAGTCTAAATGCCTTTTATGCATAACTTGAACTTAATTTATACATTTTTGTGTACCCATGTTTTGACTGTGATGTCAGGTGTTAGATTCTCCATTTGTGACACCATGTCAGTGCTCAAAAAGTTTCAGATTCTGGAGCACTTCAGATTTTTAGATTAGAAATGCTCAACCTATCCCTGAATTATACAGTTACAACAAAGCTATCGCTGATGTATGTCATCTCCCAGTTCCTGCTTCACCTGGGACAGAAGTGCTGAGTTCAGTCATTCACTGAGCTGGCGTTACCATTACACACCTTTACATACCTTGAGTTAACAGTTCAAAAGTATAGCTCCTCATATCATCTTCATTTTGAACTACAATTGTATAGTGGCCACTGTCTTCCTCCTTAGCACGGATGAGCTTTAATTTGCTCCGATACCTTAAAAGAAAAGAACTTTGTTTCAGTGACCAGTAGCTAATTAAACTCCAATTGTTGAAGCCAATACAGTCTCCAATTTAAAATTTACATTTGTAAAAACATCAGTCTCTTTTCTGGAATTCTCAATAGAGTCCCCCACATTGAAGATCTGAATCATACACACAACAGAAAACCAGTTATTTTAAGATAGCTATCCCCGAGAGTTACAGTTCTGGTAAGGCCTCACTTCTGAATGAGAATAAGTATCACCTACTAGCTTTTCTTATTTAAAGAAAACCTTTGATTTTTACCTTTTAAAAAAAAAAAAAGTTGCTTCTCCAAAACATCCATCATTTAGATGGTTCTGCCAAACATGGAACCCTGTCTGAGGGGGAAAGGAGGAGACTCTCTGTGTGGATGGGGAAAAGAATCAAGGATCCAACAGTCCTACTTGCTTGCATTTCCTTAATCAACTCTGGAAGGTTTCATAAGAACCTAATGATAAAGTGCTTCCCTATGGAAAGGAGGGAGTGACCGGATAGATGCAGACAGAGTAGAACGAAGCTCATTACAACACATCCTCTTTCTGTTTGATTTGGCATAGGATTCCATTGCTAAGTCAGAAAAATGAGTTAGAAAAAAGACACTTCTTCACACTTCAATAAACCTTCCCCAAGGATTTCTCATGTGTACCATGCAAGGCATTTGGCAATGTATAAAGATAATCTTTTTCCATTTGCTTGTCCTTTATAAAACATCTCAATGTGTAAAAGCCATTTGTTGGGTAGAGAATAGTTTTGGTCACTAAGATGACCTTGGGCATTACTGAAATTCCCTATGCCTCAGTTTCCTTATTTATAAAATGTGATAACTGAGCTGGACGCCAATGGCTCATGCCTGTAGTCTTAGCTACTACAAAGAACAAGAGAATCATGGTTCAAAGCCACCCCGGGCAAACAGCTTGTTGGACCCTTTCTCGAAAAACAAAACAAAACAAAAGGGCTGGCAGAGTGGCTCAAGTGGTAGAGTGCAAGGGTGAGGCTCTGAGTGCCCCAGTACCACCGAAAAAAAAAAAAAAAGAAGAAAAGAAATTCTAATTGTCCACACAGCACAGTCATTCTGAGGATTTGCTAAATGAGATTATATGTTAGAAAGTATTTCATTGTCTTAAAAGTCCTTCAAATGCTGGGACACTGGCACCTGTATAAGAGCAGGCTGGGCTTTTTCTGCTGTCCTCTGCATCACATTGGATTTGCTTCAGGACTGGATTTCCTCAAAGTCCTTTAAACACGCCTGGCTGCTGGTGACCAAATAATCCTCTGTCATTCCTTGTCTACATTCCTTCAGTCAAGAAAGCCAGTGGGGCCACTGGTTTTAACTCCACAAAGCCAGATAGCCCATTCACTATGTTCATTCTGGTGTTGCCTGGCCGATAATAAGAACCAAAAAAGCTATGTGCTGAAGGATTCTTGAATCACTGCACGAGGCAGCTTTCCAAAAGCTCTCCGTTGGCGAGCCTGACTTTTCATTGCTATTGATTACAGCCTGCAGATCCTGCAGACACTTGTGCAGAGAGTTAGCTGGGCCTGGCCCTATTCCTCAATCCTCACAACAGGGTGCAAAGTTCCTAGTGGAAAACTTCCCACCTCGTATACACCTTTGCTTCATGTCACCAGAAAGCCTCTTAGGTCACAGTGTGTGGCTCAGAGGAGAAGGCCTAACATTCATAAGGACCTCAGTTCTATCCCCAGCACCACAAAATAACAAAAAAAAAAGGAAGAAGGAGAGGGAGGGAGGAAGGGAGGGAGGGAGGGAGGGAGGGAGGGAGGGAGAGAGGGAGGGAGGGAGGGAGAAAGCCTTCCAGGGTTCCACTTCCTTTTCTTCACTGCTTTATAGAGATCATAAAATTCCACCTTATGGGCCGGAGCTACAGTTCAGTGGCAGAATGTGTTCTTAGCACGCACAGGTCTTGGGTTCAATCCCTAAGCACACACACACTTCTCTCAGATGATGCTTCTCAATTGTACATGGAACTTAGTTCAGAAATAGGAACCAGTGGGAAAGGTCTGGTGTACCCCTTTCCTGCAGGCTTTTGAAATGCAGGACTCACTTTTGTCTCTAGGGATAATTTCTAACAAGCGCATAAGACTTAATCAGCTGGAACCTTCAAGATGTTCCTTCTGGGCTGGTTGAGTGGCTCAGCAGTAAAAGTACCTGCCCAGCAAGCATGAGGCTCTGAGTTCAAACCCTAGTGCTGCCAAAAAGAAAGTTCCTTCTGATTCCCGTTTCACCTATTCTAATCTTAGCTGAAAAATACAAGAAGGGTTGAGGGTATAGCTCAGTGGTAGAGCACTTGCCTAGCATGTGAGAGACTCTAGGATCGATCCTCAGTACTGGAGTTCAAGCTCCAGTACTGCCAAAAAAAAAAACTTCAAGAGATCATGTAATCTAATTCCTTGCCTCAAAAAATACAAGGTGTTATTATTAATCCTACATTACAGATGAGGAAACTGAGGCCAATGGGTAACTTACCCAAAATTCTACCATTAGTTAAGAGGTGAGAGCAATCTACCACTCTTATCAAAGGTTGGATCCCAACAGTTCACCAGAGTCTCTCCTAACCAAATTTATCCAGGCTCTACCCTTAATTCCGTGGAGCCCTGGACTGGGACAAATGTGTTCAAATGAAGTCAGCAACATTTTGTTCCATGTAAGTTTATGTGTTAATTGCCTCGCAAGTAGAATCACCACACATGTCAACTTGCAATGTACTGAACATCAAGATATATATTCAATCCAACTGTGCCCAATTTCACCATCTTTCCTCCACCCCTAGCTAGACCCAGTAACCTGTCTTTCACTGGGGCAGAACTTTTTAGCTCTTTTTTCTTGTTTCATTGTTAAATACTTATCAACATACCACTACACATTGCATGGTATCATTAAAGGACCATGACTGTAAGCATGTCTTAACTCAGCTTGCTATGTTCGGTAGTCTGACTTTTGCTTTGGGTGGTAAGACCTCCAACCTCTACCTGTTGACAAAGATACACAGTAAGAAACCCTTCTTGGGAAGGGAAGTCTCTACCTTATCTCCTGAATCTTTTCCACATCAGTTGTGATCTCGGTGAGATTTTCAATAAGAGTTGAGTTGTCTTTCAGCCAGGATATCCTGGGAGGGGGATAGGCCTGCACATCCACCACAAAGTGTCTGACTTCATGCAGGTTGACAGCTTCCAACTGGCCAAAGGTGGGTTTGATCTCAACGAACCCTTTCTCTGTGCAGGGAAGAGTTTCCATTATATAATGATTACTGCATGTGGATCCCAAGCATCATGGACGACTGACATTTTAGAAAGCAGAATGTACCATGGACAGAAATGGTGACTTTCTTCATTTCTTTGACCTCCGTAAGGGCCTGGCGGGCAGTACATTCGTAATCTCCACTGTCTTTCACCGTGGCCTCGGGGACCGTCAAAGTGTACACCAATTTGATGGATGGGACTTTGATTTCCTCCAGCTTCGTGATGCCTTTGCCTTTCTACAGCAGAGGAGAAGAAAACTGACTTTTAAAAAGCTCTCTCCTCAGAGTGAACCCTACGGCAAACAGTGGCCTCTGACTAGCAAGCATGTGTCAACGTAGACTTGTCAGCTATGACAGATGTACCACTCTGCAGGGGACTCGGTAATGGGAAGGCTGCACATGTGTGGGAGAAGGAGTTGTATGGGACATCTCTGCACTCTCACTTTTTCTGTGAGCCTAAAACTACTCTAAAATATAAAGTCTAAAAAAAACCCCGATCATTAAAAGATCAAGTTTTAAAAGGATATTGTGCTGAGGATGTAGCTTAGTGGAAAGTGTGAGCTTAGCATGTGTAAGGTCCTGGGATAATCCCCAGCACTGACAAACAAATTTTAAACAAATAAAGGGTATTTTAAGGTGTCTGAATTACACTGCTGAGTGAAAAAGGATATATAATAAAGTGCTATTTAAAGAATAGTATCTATCAGTTATCAAACATTTATCTATGTACACAAAATTTAAAGGCTTATCTACCTGAAATGTTACAGTGTGATGCTCTGAGAAGTAGCTTTCCCTCTATTTCACTGTATTGTACAAAGTTCCAGGGATAAACTTGCATTGCTTTTATGAAAAAATGTGTTACAGAGAACAGTGCTTTGGTTATATATGTGTGGGCCAAATGGCATGAGTTTTGGTTTGGTATGTCCCATAAATGAAAAGAAATGCTTGTATTTAAAGTTAAAGCCAATCCCGATGAACAAAAAAATCAAATGGCTTCCTATTTCAGGAAATGTACACCTACATAAGGATGTCCCTTCATTCATGTGGCCTAGAGGGCACCCAACTCCCAATCAGGTGTCCAGAGAGGAAGGAAGAGCAGCAAGCAAAAGCATAGGGGAGAGAAATGATCAGTAGAGAGACAGAAATTTATAAGTCAGGAACGAAGGAAAAATTCTCCATGAGTCCCCCATCCATGGTATTAAACATGATTAATCACTTCCACATCGGACTTCAATACCGATTATACAGTTCTCCTACACACTCACCACAGCGCATGAGCAAGCTTTGTACAAGTTAGTTATGGTTGGTGTTCAATTGTACGCAGGGTAACTATAGTCAATGATAATGTATATTTCAAAACATCTAGAAGATTTTGATTGCTTCTTCACAAATAATAAATGTGTTAGGTAATGAATATACTAATTACCTGATTTGATCATTACACAAGAATACATGTATCAAAATATTAACTTGGGACTGAGGTATAGCTCAGTGGTAGAGAAGTTGTCTAGCATGTATGAAAACCAGGGTTGATCCTCAGCACAAAAGAAAGAAAGGGAGGGAGGGAAAGAGGAGGGAAGAAAGAGAAAGAAATAAGGAAGGAAGGGAGAGAGAGAGAAAGGAAGAAAGGTGCCAACCAGTGCAGCAGGAAGGAAGAGGGAGGGGAGGGAGGGCGAGGGAGGGAGGGAGGGAACAAGAGAGAGATAAAGAGAGAAAGAGAGAAAGAAAAAGAAAGAAAGATGTCAACTGGCCAGCTAGGAAAGAAGGAAGGGAAGGGAGGGAGGAAGAAATGGAAGGAATGAATCCATCATACTCCATAAATCTGTACAATTATTATGTGTCATTAAAACTAAAACAACAACAAAAAAGAACACGTGAGACCCTGGCATAAGTCTCCAGCAACCAGAGGTACATAATGGTCTCCTTTGCCCACTTCCACCTCCACTTCTGCTCTCCTCCTTCCGCACAGGACCAGCCTTGTACATAGCGCTGGGACTTCACAACCACACTGCCCTTTTACTGAGTGATACAGAGATGTCATTTACTGAAGGTGGCCAGGCACACAGGAAACAGAAGAGGCAACAGTGTCTGGGGTGCCAATGAACAGAAAAGAAGGAGGGCAGGCCTCAACAATGCCTAATGCCTCTGAACTCAAGGGCATGAGGCCCAGAAATGAGAAGGAATGACTGTCTCAGCAATTAGCATATTTCCTGCCTTTCTAAATTTTTGGCTTTATTATAAACAATAGAACCTTCCTCTTTCTTTCTGAAAGAGAGGGCTCAGTGAAGAATCTGTGTGCATTCTAGGGCCCTGTCCAGCTGTGATCATATCAAAACTCTCTTGGTCATTGACCAACAAGCCTCAACACACCCCTTGAGAAAGCCCATGAGTCAAATGTGCTCACTGTCAAGACAGGAAGCAAGAAGCTTAAGGAGTGCCCATCAGCAACAGGCATAACTCGAAATGCACGGATCCATGCACTCGTGTCTTCAGGGTACCTACACTTCTCCAGGGTACTTCCACTTTAGGTCAACCACCTCATTGTTAAGACAGCACAGGTGAGCATGATCGTTTCCCCTGACTTGTACACAGTTTTAAGAGCCTCCATTCTCCTAGATCCAGTTCTGATGTCGCTGTAAAAAGAAAATGAAATACAAGGAATCTAAATATCCATTGTCTACGGCCATACCACCCTGAACACGCCCGATCTCGTCTAAATATCCATTGTATCATTAGGATTGCACAAGGTTTACGTGGGGTTTTTTGATTTGTTTCTTTGTTTTAAGAAAATCCTGGCTAGGCACCAAGTGGCTCACACCTGTAATCCTAGCTACTCAGGAGGCAGAGATTAGGAAAATCACAGTTCGAAGTCAGCCTGGGCAAACAGTTTGCAGACCTATCTTGAAAAAAAATCCATCACAAAAAAGGGCTGGTAGAGTGGCTCAAGGTGAATGGCCCTGAGTTCAAATCCCAGTAACGGAAAAAAAAAAAAGGAAGAGAAACCCTGAAAGATAATTCACAAACCAGTTTGAATCAAAGACAAGCTTTGGACAATCTTCAGAAAGCCTTGATTTTGAGTTGACATACACAATTTGGCATGTAGTTTATACAGAAATGCAAATAATTTTTTTTTTCATTTTCTTTTATTATTCATATGTGCATACAAGGCTTGGTTTCATTTCTCCCCCTGCCCCCCCCCTCCCTTACCACCCACTCCCCCCCTCCCCCCCTCAATACCCAGCAGAAACTATTTTGCCCTTATTCTTAATTTTGTTGTAGAGAGAGTATAAGCAATAATAGGAAGGAACAAGGGTTTTTGCTGGTTGAGATAAGGATAGCTATACAGGGCATTGACTCACATTGATTTCCTGTGCGTGGGTGTTACCTTCTAGGTTAATTCTTTTTATCTAACCTTTTCTCTAGTTCCTGGTCCCCTTTTCCTATTGGCCTCAGTTGCTTTAAGGTATCTGCTTTAGTTTCTCTGCGTTAAGGGCAACAAATGCTAGCTAGTTTTTTAGGTGTCTTACCTATCCTCACCCCTCCCTTGTGTGCTCTCGCTTTTATCATGTGCTCAAGTCCAATCCCCTTGTTGTGTTTGCCCTTGATCTAATGTCCACATATGAGGGAGAACATACGATTTTTGGTCTTTTGGGCCAGGCTAACCTCACTCAGAATGATGTTCTCCAATTCCATCCATTTACCAGCGAATGATAACATTTCGTTCTTCTTCATGGCTGCATAAAATTCCATTGTGTATAGATACCACATTTTCTTAATCCATTCGTCAGTGCTGGGGCATCTTGGCTGTTTCCATAACTTGGCTATTGTGAATAGTGCCGCAATAAACATGGATGTGCAGGTGCCTCTGGAGTAACAGTCTTTTGGGTATATCCCCAAGAGTGGTATTGCTGGATCAAATGGTAGATCGATGTCCAGCTTTTTAAGTAGCCTCCAAATTTTTTTCCAGAGTGGTTGTACTAGTTACATTCCCACCAACAGTGTAAGAGGGTTCCTTTTTCCCCGCATCCTCGCCAACACCTGTTGTTGGTGGTGTTGCTGATGATGGCTATTCTAACAGGGGTGAGGTGGAATCTTAGTGTGGTTTTTAATTTGCATTTCCTTTATTGCTAGAGATGGTGAGCATTTTTTCATGTGTTTTTGGCCATTTGAATTTCTTCTTTTGAGAAAGTTCTGTTTAGTTCACTGCCCATTTCTTTATTGGTTCATTAGTTTTGGGAGAATTTAGTTTTTTAAGTTCCCTGTATATTCTGGTTATCAGTCCTTTGTCTGATGTATATTGGCAAATATTTTCTCCCACTCTGTGGGTGTTCTCTTCAGTTTAGAGACCATTTCTTTTGATGAACAGAAGCTTTTTAGTTTTATGAGGTCCCATTTATCTATGCTATCTCTTAGTTGCTGTGCTGCTGGGGTTTCATTGAGAAAGTTCTTACCTATACCTACTAACTCCAGAGTATTTCCTACTCTTTCTTGTATCAACTTAGAGTTTGGGTCTGATATTAAGATCCTTGATCCATTTTGAGTTAATCTTGGTATAGGGTGATATACATGGATCTAGTTTCAGTTTTTTGCAGACTGCTAACCAGTTTTCCCAGCAGTTTTTGTTGAAGAGGCTGCTATTTCTCCATCGTATATTTTTAGCTCCTTTGTCAAAGATAAGTTGGTTATAGTTGTGTGGCTTCATATCTGGTCCTCTATTCTGTTCCACTGGTCTTCATGTCTGTTTTTGTGCCAGTACCATGCTGTTTTTATTATTATTGCTTTGTAATATAGTTTGAAGTCAGGTATCGTGATACCTCCTGCATTGTTCTTTTGACTGAGTATTGCCTTGGCTATTCGTGGCCTCTTGTGTTTCCATATAAATTTAACAGTAGATTTTTCAATCTCTTTGATGAATGTCATTGGAATTTTGATGGGAATTGCATTAAACATGTAGATTACTTTTGGGAGTATAGACATTTTTACTATGTTGATTCTACCAATCCATGAGCATGGGAGATCTCTCCACTTTCTATAGTCTTCCTCAATCTCTTTCTTCAGAAGTGTATAGTTTTCCTTGTAGAGGTCCAGAAATGCAAATAATAACAATAGTAAGAATGAATTCCAATTGAACAGAGCACCACATTCCGGGGCATCTGATTTAGTTGCAGCCGTATCTTTTCCAATCACCATTTGTGGCTCATTTACCCATTTACGCACCAACTGCCCCTGCCCAGTGCAGCTCTAGGCCCGTGCTTCTGGCCCCTTCATTCTCTTCTCCTCCACTCCTCTCCTTGGCTAGTCTCAGCATCTCCTCAGAGCCTAGTACAGTGTCTGGCACAAATAAGCCCTTCATCATTGCCAAACGGCATATTCTTGCTGCGGCTAAGCCTCCATGCAGAGTAAGTGCTCCATTAATATCTGGTGACCCCAAACCCCAACACGTGTCACGCTGTTCCATTTAGGCTAAGCACTCTCAAAAAAGGGATGAAGTTTAAAAACTCTAAGTACAGTCATTCCTCAAAACTGAAATCACTTAACTCTTAAATCACTAAAATTAATCTAGGCACCCAGCCTCCTGGGGTGTATGTTTGTTTATAGGGTCTCTATAACCAAGAATATGACTCTAACAGTAAGAGGCTTATGCAAGAATTCCATGCAGTATTTTGAAGTCAACTCATGAAACGTGAAATCTTACATGGTATACAAAAGCTTAAGCCGTTAGTGATTTTAAGCCTGGTATTATAGCCACAGAGGTGGACTGCACTGTACAGTAAGGTGGGCTGCTAAATACCCTCACCAGAACTCTGGACCTCCATCTCCAGTGGCTGTGGTGCAATTAAAATCCTAGTTTGCCTGTTGCTCCTATTTAAAGAAGGAAGGGAACAGTACATGTACCTTTCAAAGCGTAGACATTAAATGGGATGGTCTGAAACTTCCTCCCTTTGACAGTGGCCTCACAGATGTAGGGCCCACACTGAAGGTGCCATTGAAGCCCTGCCTGCTGTCATAGGAGGCTGGCACCAGCCATCACTGTTGCGTAAGATTACAGGAGTCTCTGGATCCGTGGTGCGACAAGGTATGACTGCAGAATCATCTTCCTCCACGATGATTAAATAATCTGTCATCCCTAGGGGCACGAAAGCCACATCTGGGTCTGTAGTTTAAAAAAGACAGACTATTAGACATTCACTCACTCTCGCACATATGTGCAGAAAAACTATCCCACTGCCATTATTATTATTATTATTAGGTTTTTGGTTTTTTGGTTTTTTGCAGTGCTGGGGTTCAAATCCAGGGCTTTACACATTAGGCAAGTCCTTCACTATACTATACTCCTGACCCAGCATTATTCTTACCAGGTATGAATTCTACCTTTTTCTAGAGAGGTCCAGAAGAGTTGCTCTACCAACATTACCTGTCATGACAGCTAGAAGGTAAACATAAATTCTGAATAGTACTCAACTTCCTGTACCCTAATAAAAAACGCTGATGATAAACAAAAATACTAGCCAATAGTCCAACTCAAAATGTAAACAACAATTAAGAACAAAAATGGAGGTTAGGAGGTATGGTTCAAGTGGTAGAGCACCTGCCTAGCAAGTAAAAAGCCCTGAGTTCAAACCTCAGTACTGCCAAAAAAAAAAGTTCAAAAAAGTTCAAAAAAAAGTTCGAAATAAGAGTCATAATTGTTATGCTATAAAGTGCTCTTTCAAACCCCCACTGCACATAGCCAGTCAGACTGAAAAGTAGCACAAGAAATCTATTAAAACTAATCTCTCAAGTAACAAAGAAAATTGTAAAGCTGGAGGCGGGGCACACTGGCTCAGTATATGCTCAGTGTGTGCAAGGCTGTGAGTTTGACCCCTGGCATGTTTAATTCCATAGCCTGAAACCTTCCTTTCTGAAAAAGCTGCTAGCAAAGCCACCATGGTAAGAAATACTGAGTCACAGCTAAGAAAAGTATCCTGACCCTCCATGACCACTGATAAAAAGTTCCCTGTCAGATAACAATGAAGAGACCTGTTCTCTCACTGAGGACAGGAAAAAATTTTAAACCACTTTAAGTGGATCAAAACTTGAGGACTGTCAAGAAGAGCTGGTGGCTCACAGCTGTAATCCTAGCTACTTGGGAGGCTGAGATCTAGAGGAGCAAGGTTTCAGACCAGCCCAGGCAAATAGTTTGCAAGACCCTATCACCAAAAGAGCCAGAGCAAAAAGGACTGGAGGTGTTGCTCAAGTGGTAGAGCATCTGCTTTGCAAGCACAAAAGCCCTGAGTTCAAACACCAGTCCCACCAAAAAAAAAAAAAAAAAAAAAACCCTTGTTATATAAATTGAATCTCCTTTCCTCATCCTGACCAAAACAACAAAAATGGCACAAAGACAGAAAGTGCAAGTGCTCCATCTGAAATATTCTGTTTTGTCCAACAACATCCACAATTGCCATCACTCAAATCTGTGATCAGAGTCACAAAATCTTGAACAATCACAGAGGGCTTAACTGGCCAAGGCCTGGCCCTGTCTCAGTCTAAGGCCATGCTTCCCAGTGATGCTTCCTGCCAACAAGCTGAGCAGAGTTGGGGATCATAGGCTCAGGGCTCCCATCATCCTTAGCTTCCACAGCACTCTAGGCCATGGTCATCCACTCCCATAGTCACACTGGCCATGTAATCAGATGACTCTCCCAGCCTCTTCAGGATCCTCTCCATTTCCTCCCACAGACTGAAAAGTTTGGTGGCTATTTGGAAGCTATTATACTGAACTGTAAGTAAGACCAAGACAAAGCCTACCTATTCAGTCTTCTGTCTCCATGACTGAGCATGGTGTCTGATACACTGTAAATATTTGCTGAATTTGACTGAACTGAACATAAATTAGTACAGTTCAGGTCTTCTGCACAATATCAATAAATGACATGCCATAACAAAAATAATTTTCAAAACTCAGTAAAACTCTGAAATGTTAACCAGGAGTGTTTATTGACAATGACGTAACAAATGGTCTTCATTTAGTTTTGTGTGTTCTACCTGGCCTATTGGTGTGCATTTATAATCCCAGCACTCAAGAGGCTGAGGTGGGAGAATGGCAAGTTCCAGGCCAGCCTGGATTACACAGGCAGACCCTGTCTCAACAACAACAAATAATTGTGTGTTCTCTATTTTTCAAAAATTTTCCAATACATACTAATTTTATATATTTTTTAAAATCTTAATACAATGAATAGGAGACACGGGACGAGAAGAAACTTGGTCCAGGGGACCCATCCAACTCACCGGGCACATAGATATAAATACCCCTTCCCTCAACTTCATTTTCTTCTGTCTGCGTGTGGTTGTAATAGCAAGTGTACAATCCAGTGTGGGCTGCCGAGGCCCCGACCACTTCCAGCACTGTCACAAAAAGGCCACTGTTGTTCTCTTCATTTCTGATTTCCACTTTGGGGTCCTCTTCTACAGACATGGGGTACTGCCAGCTCACTTCACTCTCCCCAAAGCATCTCAGAGAAAAGGATGAATTCAGCTGCACAACCTTTTCATTTTCATTTGGAAGGATAGAGGGTAATGAGAGCTGGCAGAGGATTAGGCTCGGCCTGTAAAAGGAAACACGCTCTGAATAGGACGCAGCCAGAAAGGAGAGTCTCCCCGGAGAGCTGAGAGAAGCAACAGAAGCAGCTTATACAAACAATGACCATTTCTACGCAAAATCCGTTAGCCTGGATACCCATGAAAGACCTCCATTATAACAGCCACTGCATCTGCTGAGAGCAGCTAGTGTTCCAGAGGCCTCAACAACCCCCAAGTCCCCCAGATGTGCCCCTCCAAACACTCCAATGGATAGAGGACGTCTGATTCCCATTCCATATCTCAGACTCTTATGTGTGATCATAAAATATCCCAAGATGGCATGAGCTCCAGCACATATGGCTTCTTTATCACTCACATGCCCTGCAGAAGTTTCCTGTAGCTTAAGAAAAGGGGGTGACATGAGTCCAGGGGCAGGGAGATGGACTGAACAAAGTGCACAGCAGATCTGTGCTTGAGAATTGCACAACTTCTGCTTCTTACAGCACACCCCCATGCCTCTCTCTAATGACTTCCAGAGGCCAAAGCAGGATGATGTGGATTTCAATTCACCAGTAATAAGTAAAGCCCAAGAGCAAAAGCTCCCAAGTTCATCCTAAAGCCTGAAATTTTAGTCTAGTTTCCCTCATCAAAGAGACATTGCCACTCAATTCTTAATTCATGATTGATCTTTAATCTCCCTCGGACCCTAATGTGGGAATTCCACCCAACTTTAAAGGAATTTCTCAGAACCTGGATGAAAACTGAGAAAGTCTGATAAACATTTTCAATAAATGGTTCGTGGTGCCCTCCTGATTCTCCAAGAGCCAAACACGTCTGTCGATTACATTCCAAGCCAAGGGTAAATATGGCACCAAGATTTTCAAGCAAGCATCTTTTATTAGGCAGGTATGATGTCCTGGACAAGAATGTTCTGTTCTTCATTTCCTTTGAACAGGCTTCAATTTCTCTGATCCACGCCTACTGGAAGCCTTGCCCAGGAAAGAAAGAGGGCAGTGGACAGGTTTGAACTATTACAACAAACCTATCAATGGCCTGGAAACCTTTGTTTTGAAATGGAATTAATGCAATACAGCCAAGGGAACAGAAGGTCTCTGATCATTCTCGATAATCCTCTATTTCGTCTCATGGTCTTTGACCTATGTGCACAGAATACAGGTAACAGACCCAGAGAGCACAGGACTCAGAAACAATGCTCCAGTGCTCCCAAGGGCAACGACCTGAGGGGATGGAGATACATACCTGTGAGGAGACAGCCGAAGACCAGGAAGGCCTGGCGGGACGTCCCCATAGCTCCGGAAATCTGCAAAAGTCAAAAGCCAAACAGAAACACCATTAGCCAATAGAAAACAGCCGTGAGTGTGGTTCTCTTCATGCCTGCACAATGGACTTGAAGACTCGTGGCTGAAGCAGTAAGGCACTGACAAGGAAAGAATCAAATAGCGATGGGGATCCTGACACCATCTGAGGGGAAAGTTGACTGCCTATGGCTTTCCAATTCTGAAAACCTGGGGTGTTCACAAGTGCCCTTTAGATGGAAGGAAGGAGGGAGGGAGGGAGGGAAGAAGGAAGGACCGTGATGGATTTTTTTCTCAATTTTTAAACTAGAGCAGTGTTTACTCCAACTAGGTTGCTACTCCCTTCATGTTTCAATTCATCAAGATGTCACATCCTGCTGGGCACCAGTGACTCACACCTGTAATCCTAGCTACTCAGGAGGCAGAGATCAGTAGGATCTTGGTTCAAAGCCAGCCCAAGGCAAATAGTTCTGGAGACCCTATCTCCAAAAAACCCATCACAAAACAGGGCTGCTGTTTTGTGGTAAGATCAAGCGGTTGGAGCGCCTGCCTAGCAAGCATGAAGCACTCAAGTCAAACCCCAGTACCACCAAAAAAGAAGTCACATAGTCACATCCTCAACAACTTTCAGAAAACTTGCTTAGGCTAGAACAAATCTTTTCATTTTAATGGTAAATTGTTATTAGGATCTAGAGTTTCTGAAATTCTCAGCCAATGTCACCCAGAGGCGGCCTTTGTGATACCACGCACACACCTGGATGCCCCCCTGGGATCAGGAGGCCTAGAAAGATTGGGACAGGGCAGGAACAGAGAAGCTGGGGAAACCAGAGGAGAGCGCCTGCCCAAGAAGCAGAAAACAGAACCAAATTCTACAGAGGCTCGTGCTCATCTTCAAATTAAGGAAACAGCACCTGTAGAAACCACGTTCTTGAGTCTCTGACTTCCTCGGGAAGTGGAGAAGGATTGAAACTGAATGTCCACAGAACAGAAGCAGGGCAAGGAGTGGACAAGAAAGGAAGGGAGGGGAACAAAATGAAGAGGGAAAGAAATGAAAGAGGGCCCTGTTGCCTTCCAAACAGACCACTAAGGGTCTATTCTAGCCAATCTTGAAGAGACCACTTTCCCTAGGTTCCCTCTTCAGGTGCCCTTGCTCATTTCTTTTCCTTCACTTTCCACATGAGGTCTGGGGAAAGCACTCTCACTGATGGCAGGGAAAAGGAGCTACACAGGGCTCGCAGATGTTGGGACCTAAAATGCCCACCCCAGCCGGGTGCCAATGACTTACCCTGTAATCCTGGCTACTTAGGAGGCAGAGATCAGGAGGATCACAGTTCAAAGCCAGCCTGGGCAAACAGTTCGCAAGACCCTATCTCAAAAACACCCATCACAAAAAAAGGGGCTGTGGAGTAGCTCAAGGCCTGAGTTCAAACCCTGAAAAAAAATGCCCACCCCACCCACACTCAGTGTGGCCTGGGCACACAAGAGCTTTAAGCTAACATAGAAATCAGCACCTGTCCTTGGGCCTGGGACACACTGGGTTCCACTGCACCCCACATCAGGCAATGAGAGCTGGTGGGGCTTAGTCTGCCCCCTCACTGACTCTGGACACTAAGATGTGTGTAGAGGACTCCTTCAGTGAGACATTTTTAAACATTTCAGGGGCTCAGTATATACCTTATTTGACTCAAGTTGTTGTGTTTTGTTTTTTTGGGGTTTTTTTGACAGTACTGGGGTTTTACTCAAGGCTTCGTGCTTGCAAAGCAGGTGCTCTGCCACTTGAGCCACACCTCCAGTCCATTTTGCTCTGCTTATTTTGGAGGTGGGGTCTCTCCTGCTATTTCCCCAGGCTGGCTGAAAACCGAGACTCCCAGATCTCAGCCTCACAAGTAGCTAGGATTACAGGCGTGAGCCACTGGCACCCAGCTAGTTTGAGTTGTTTATGTTTGTTGGAGAGGACCCAGTAGATAATAACCTAAATGTAGATTTTAGTGGTGCCCAGTTGCAGAAGTCCAGATTCTGCTCCATTGAATTCTATCAAGAAAATTGAGGAGGAAGAAAGACAGCTAGTTGAAAGGTGGAATGCTGGCAAGAGGGACAATGGATAGAAAAAAAATAAGAGAATGAGAATCCACTATTTACTAGGCCAAAGTTTTTTTATGTGTTTGTTAAGAATAACCCTGTGTCATAGTTGATTTCAAGAAGTGGCAGTTGAGGCCTAGAGAGGTTTAGCAAATGACCCAAAGACACACAGCTAGTGACAGAGCCATGATTTTAAGGCTTTGTGAGATTTTAAAGATGTATGACATGCAAAACCAATGCTCTCTCCACTCCACAGCAGAGTCTTTTTCAAGGAAGGCCAGTGTTCCAGCCCCGTCCTGTCCTTCTGCACCCCTTACTATTTTCTGACACAAACTGGAGCCCTCTTTCCTTCTTCATCCCTCACTATGGGCAAAACATAATTGCAGTGCTGAGACCCAAATGCAATTCATTTGATGCTGGCTGCTTGATGGCTTCTGAGGATCTTGGCAGGTGCCTGGGGGGATGCAGAATTTCTACACTGCTGCAGTGGCAGACGCAGGGGGCCCCAGAGCCAGGCTGGCCGCCTGGCTTACCACAATTAGCAGTAAGGGCCTGTGTGTTTGTACACACAAATATCAGCCTCCCACTGATAATCCACTTAGTGAACTTCAAAGCAGCTTCCAGCGCCAGCTTGACGTCTTGGGTTTTATCACATTTATATCCTGTATTTCTTTGGCAAGACTTGCCAGTGATGTATCTTTCCAGCATTGCTGAATGTAAGGGCTCCCTGCACTTACAGAGCAGGCTCTGCAGAGCGTTCTGCGCTGGCCAGGCCCCACCATATTTCCTTCTGTGTGTCCAGATATGGTGGACCTGCTGCCAGGGAGGATTATTTACTGACATACAAAGTGGGCAATGAAAACAGGGCCTCCAACCGAGCGATAACCGTGTGAAAACTGAGCATCACATGTGTTTGCTTAAGATTTCAAACTTCTGTCTCTGATAACGGCAGTTCCCTGGCTAGAAATGCAGGCGTGTTGGTGACGTTTCAGGCCCTTACTCGTGAATAACTGCCGAGTGTCTGCCCATGGGGGAGGGGATGGAGAACAGCAGGAGAGAGAGACTCCACCGAGTGAGGGTTTTGCCATTCCTTTGCTTTTCTGTCCTGGGAGTAAATGCTCATTCCTAATTAGTTATTCCCACCCCGGAGCACATCCAAAAAGATGTGCACATCTTAGTAATTGAGGTGACAAATTATGAGGCTGGTGGCACTGTAAGTCCTGCAAGACAGAGCTCTTTGCAAGGAGGCAATGGATTCCAATCAAATCTTTTTTTAATCATTGTTTCTCTCATGCCAATAACAGTTGGCCTTCAGCCTCAATCATCCAGACTCACAGCTCAAAAAGCATTTGCCACAAGTTAGAGAAATAACAGAAAAGAGCTCTCCGTCAAGTTCACTGTCAGGCAGGGGATGCAGTTTTCCCCCATTCTCTCTAGTCCTCCTCCTTCCTTTCTCAGAAGCACAATGCAAATCACATCAGAGGATTCTGACCCCAAAGCTGACATTTTGTCCATCTCTCTGATCCTCAGACTGGTAACACCAGACTTGCTGGCTTGCGCCACTCCGTAGTTTAATTGAAAGTGCCTTGGTTTTCATAGAGAATCTTTTCCTGCAGACTCCTAAGATGTGTTAGAGGACAGCAACACCAGAAGGTTCTTTTAACTCCTCCTTCCTAAGAAAGGCCAGCAATTCACTCACACCCTGTTGTAGCTACGAAGATTTTGAAGATGAACCAATATATTCAGAAACAAATCTGATCATAGTCTCTCTGTCTCTCTCTCTCTCTCTCTCTCTCTCTCTGTCTTCCCTTTCCCTGTCTCCTCCTCCCCGCCTCTCACAGAGGTTTTATGTAGACCAGGCTGACCTCAAACTCACAATCATCTTGCCTCAGCCTCCTGAGTCCTGGGATTACAAGCACACACCACCACACTTATTTGTCATTTCTATTTAACAGTATGCCATCTCGTCCCCCGCAAATGACTGAAAAGTTACTGAATGTGACTTTATAACAGAAGACAGCATGCTAAGCTACAGAGTCACAGGAAGCAATGCAAGGGCCCTACTTCCAGAAGCGAGAGCCCATCATTCTTTTCACAAGACCAAAGAACCAGCATCCCCATCACCATGGACAATGTGCATCCCACTGAGGAACCATTGACTATTGAATCTCACCCCACCCTGGCATGATTAAAGACCACAGGAGACTCTCACAGTCCCAAAGCCACTGATGACCTCAAGATTCAGGTTTTTGAGGTCTGGTTAATTTCAGCTCTCCTAAGTTAATTCTAACTGTGAAAATTACACATCTTGTTTTTTTCTGTAACATTCTACTAGGTCTCATAATTTCAGCCCAGGCAACCCAAGCAGGTCTGTGTCAATGGCAACATCTCTGTTTTGCAGCCACCAGTATCTCCCAGGACCTGCACCTCACCAGACCCTGTTGTTTTGGTCTCCAGGAGCCCATTAGACATTCCGGTGCTGGGTGGAGGCTAGAGTGCGTTTACATGGCAGCATTTTATGGGGCAATCTGAGCTCATAAACCTTTCTGTCTTCCCTGCACCAAATATTCAACCACGGAAGCAAATGGCACTTCCATCTGATTGTCACTAAACTAATGCGACTCCAAATAGAGGTAGTGGCTCGCACAACAGAGCCTTGGTTTGTGGTCACCAAGCAGGGCTGGCATACTAAATCTCCTCACTTATAAATAGGAATACTTAAACACCCGCCCACCTTCCTCACAGGTCTGCGCTGACCATCAGATTTGGTGGGTAAACACTCAGTTCATGTACAAATGTAAAGAATGAGCAATTAAGACGAAGGGCTGGGGGTGTGGCTAAGTGGTATAGCGCTTACACAAAGACCTGGATTTGACCTCCAACACCACAAAAAGGAGGAAAACTACAAAAATGT